TTGCTTATTTGACTCTGATGATTCGTCTCTTTTCCTTATTTAGTAATTGGTCCGTTGCATGCCTAAGATTTAGGTCGTATTAATTATTAGCATTTAATGTGATTGACTCCTTTCTTCTCCAGTATTTTTGATTTCATTTTGGCCCGTCTCTATGTGCTTTGTTCCATTAATTTTCTGTTTTGATACTAAAATGGCTGAAATGGTTTGGGTTCACCTATTTTGTGGCCTGTGATTCTTCTTATCACATTTTGGGCCTCGAAGGTTCAGGAAGCCCAAAGGCTGTTGGAACCTGCTGATGCAGTAGCCCAAAGACCTTGGGTTAACTTGACCCAGGTTGGTCTCCAGGGTAAAAACATGGGTATTGGAGGGTAGTTTAGATATTTGGTTGAGGGAATCTAATCAGTAACAGAAATAGGAAGCTTCTAGTAGGGGTTTTAATTGGAATTTCAGAATTATAGTGGTTTAACTTGGCAAACAAGTCACAAAATGAGGGACTAAATCGGAAAAACAAAAATGTGAGGCTGCCCTACTTTCTTGCCTATAAAGGCATCATTCCTTGCTCTCAAGGGAAGTTTTTCAGAGAGCTAAAAAATCAGAAAAAGCAGGCGGCTAAATTTAGGAAAATACTATTCTATTGGCATTCTACCCAGAATTTTGAGTGGTTTCCTTGATTATCAAACAATTTCTGAGTCCTTTTGAGTGAAAATGGCTTGATCGTATGTTGGAAATGCTTTGGATTCAGTTTGTTTGAAATTTACACTGTTCCATTGGTCTCATGTTTAGATTTCTGAAATTTGTCAAATGTTCTGAAGCTTTTTCTGGTTCACTTGAGGTCGAAAATGAGTTGATTTGGGTTTGGAAACTAGTTCAAAGTTGGGTCTTGGGGTTTGTTGTGCATCAACTTGTGTTGGGTTTGGATTTTTGCTGATTGTTACTCAAATCTGCTGTTGTGCTACTAAGCTGTTAGCTAACTGACCCTACTTGCCTTTTGGTTGTGTCTCGTTTCAGGTACACACTGTAAAGCTATTGATTGTTGAATGTTGGATTTGAAGAATAAAAAATGAGAAAGAAGGATTTGAAAGTCCTATCTCAACTGTCCTTTATTCCATTCTGTTTCACTTTAGATTTCTATTTGAGCATGCTATATTGTTTAGATAATTTGTATGTTAAGTAGATAACTTCACTTGTAATTGAATCGGGACTGTGGTAAGACCGAATAAACACTTTTGGCATCCACACATGTGGAAGTAGTCTGATAATTGTAATTGGTCTTGCTGAAATTAGTACTGAGTCATTCTTTGGTTTGGGAATTAGCTTAGTCGTAGTCAATTGCTCATGTGTTCACCCATTAGTTTGGCTGAATGTGTTCTTTGATTTCTGAGCATTGCAATTGTGATTAAAAGGAAAAGGGTCCACAGTATTGATAGCTACTGCATATTTGTCAAATAATTGTTGGATTTCATTCAGTTTTTCTCATATGATCCATAGTTAGTCATCATGAGTAGTAATTCATCATCACTGCTGTGTTTATTTTATCTTTGGATTCGAATCAGTTTAAGTGTAATGGCCTAGGGCTGTTGGGAATTTGAAGTGAATCATCTGATGGGCCAATGATCTTAAGGGTTAAGTAATGCACAGAAGAATCATGTTGTAGTTATGAGCATGTTTTAGGTTAATTTTAAGGCTGAATTGTCCATTTGGAAATCCTTGAGGTTTGGTTTAGCTTAATTTGTTTTGAATTAGAGAGAATATGTAACTTGCATTGTTGGATTTGATGTTGATATCCCGTTTGATATTCCAATGTGGAATGTGTGCCAGGAGTTCGAACTTGGGGTTCGTTCACGTATCCTCTTGGCCCTCAAAGATGCGGACCCACTTTGGGCCTGAGCAGTAGGATCATTTTAAATTGAAAAGAGGCCCATCCCCTTTAGACAGCCTCTTAATTTGAGGGTCTGGGTCTAGGCGTCAATCTGGAGAGTAATTACAATTGCGTTTAAGCCATATTCGATTATCATAGTCAGTGGAGGTGTGCCATGCCAAACAAAATGAAAATTGTGTGGCCCTCGTATCAATCTCATAGTCTAGATATAACATGATTAATATTCGTAGAAAAACCTTTAGGGCCGTTTAAAACACAATTGTGATTGTGTATACGTCCGCGTAACATAATTACGATTCTAAAAACAAAACCGGAGTATGCGTTCGCGCAACTTCGGCCCAAACTTTCTTAATAATCATGGAGCGTTATTAATTGTGGACACGTTCGCGTGACATGATTTTTGACGCGCCAAACAAATGGGTATACGTACGCGTAACCCGTTTCAAGATAATTTTCTAATTAAAAGCGGAAAATGCACATAGGTTCTAAATCAGTATATAAATAATTAATAAGCCAAGTATTATCAAAGCGACCGTGCTAGAACTACGGAACTCGGGAGTGCCTAACACCTTCCCCCGGGTTAACAGAATTCCTTACCTGGATTTCTATTTTTGCAGACTGTATAACAGAGTCAATCTTTCCTCGATTCGGGATTTTAAACCGGTGACTTGGGACACCATTAATTATCCCAAGTGGCAACTCTGAATTTTTAATAAAATGAATCCCGTTTCGATTGTCACTTCAAGTTGGAAATAACTCCTTATACCCTCTTACGGGGGTGTAGTGAAAAAAGGAGGTGTGACAGAAAGTGCTGCCGAGTCTGGAGGAGGAGTGAGTGAAGGATCTGCTGGATCGTTGACCATTGTTTCTGCCACATCATTTATCCGGGTGATGTCGATATCTTGAAGAATTTGCTATGAGATCATGTTTGGGAATAGGAGGAACCGTTACAGCTTTACACGAGGAACATATTAGGCATAGAAAAGGAAGCGAGGTTTATGTTTGGTTTGCCTGGATCCCAATCTCACTGTATATAATCTCGCCAACATCAACCTTGATGCGCGTCATGATGCATGCAATGAGGATTGTCTTCTCGATGCTTATATTTGTTTCATTTCTGGAGGGCATTAGACGTGGAAACACACAAAACTCAGCCAGTACCAACCTTCTTGGGTAAGATCCCTCTTGTGGATCCTTTGTTTAGGTGCAATCCAGGGCGGAATACCCTTGGCTATGACAGAAGCTACCCAAGCACGCCTGGATTCCTTGTTTTTAAGCTTTTCATAATATTCTGCGGTTCCTGGCATCCACTTCTCAAAGTATACATCATTGATTGATCCTGCATCACAGAGGACTTCAACTCCGCGGACTAAAACAATGTACTGGAACCTATGGTTTCTCTTTTGTTCTGCATTCCTGGATGCAGCATAGGCAGTATAGAATTCCCGCGTGAGTGTCTCATTATACTCTCCTGGGACCTGACAGAATCACTCCCACCTCCTCTTTTTGATGTTTTCTAGGACGTGAGGGTAATTTTCCTTTAAATCGTTCAAGCTGAGCTGCCTTTATTCAAGGATTTTTCTCTTTTCTAAGCCCTCCCTGTACAGGGTTCGAGAGCCGGCAACTCCAAACCTGAGATCTTCCATATTTTTCTGGCGTGCTTCAGCATGAAGATCAACAGGTGGCACAAGATCGGTCTATGCTTCCTCCTCTTTAGACTGGAAGGAATGCTCAGATGTCCTTCTGGTTGTGTCAGGTCGGGAGCATTTGGGTTGCTGCATTTGTTGGCTCATAGCAGCAGCTCGTTTGTTTCCTCGAGCGGGAGGTGATTGCACTGGAAGAGACTTCTTAGGTGCCATTCATGTCAATGAAACAGTGTGTGAGTGGGTGATATAGCATAGAAATCACATTGAGAGAAAATGAATGAAGTAAACAGCTTTTGCGACGGGTTATGCGATCGCATAACTACTATGCGAACCGCAAACCCTTCGCAGAATTACACAACCCAGGAGGCAAACAATTATGCGATCGTGAAAAGGTCTGCGAAATATGTTATGCGACCGCATAGTGGTCATATTTCAGCTCACCAGATGGGTAATTTTTCTGACCCTGTTTGCGGCAACTTTGCGGTCCGCGAAACTAGTTTGCAATCGCAAACTCCATCGCAGAACCATTTTTCATCAGGCCACCTAGGGTTCTAATTGTGATGACTTTGCAGATTGTAAACCAATTATGCTGATCGCAAATATCATCTTCTTCAATTAAAAATGGTCAAACCCCTCACACATAGAACTCCTATCACTCGAATGTAAAAAATGACCCACGAATTTCCCACCCAGGTCCCTGCAGCAAAGGTTTGAGAGGAAGGGGGAGGAAAGGAGTTCAAGCAATTAATATTATGCAATATAACCATGAGAAAGATGGAAGAGAATCACATACCAGATGTCTGAGCAAGATAAAAATTGATTATGAGATGTGAACGAGGTGAATCTTTCCGCAATGTCAATCCTTGTTATGTGTTTTTGGGTGTGATTCGAATGTTTTATGCTTTTTCTTCTGTTTCTCTTTGCTTTTTTTATTTTTGGTTTTGTTTGTGTTGTACAATGTTCATGTGTGAGTGAGAGTGAAGGCATGCAGAAGGTTTAGGGTGTTATACGTGAGCATTTTGCATTGGGCAAGTGGATCTCATAACACATTATGTGGTCGCATATGTTCTATGCGATGGATTAAGGACTAGGTTGCCCAAAATTTATTTTACGACGATTTCTCGCATAGTTGTTATGCGGGCCGCAGAATCTAAAACCTTACCGCATTTTTGCAGACCCATCTTTCCAATTTCTTTGACCGTGTCTGCGACAATTATGCAGCTCGCAAAGTCATTATGCGACCGCATAGTTGTCGCAAACCACGGACCCTTCTTTCCTTCATTTGCCTCAGTACGTGCACCTTATTCATGGTATTTTGGACTACCTGCATTCTAACACACACGTCAACCTACTCTACAATGACAACTAAACCTAAATAAATGAAAAACTAACAAAAGAGTGTTGCCACACATGGGTTGCATCCCAAGAAGCACTTGATTTAAAGTCGCGGCACAACGATGCCGATCCTGTTTGGGCTACTCAGTGGTTGGTGTAGGACTATCCTTGAGAGCAACTTGTTCTACCAAGTGCTTTTCTCCTGTGGTGCCAAGGTAATGCTTAACCCGTTGGCCATTTACTTTGAAAGATCGAGTTCCGTCCTCCGACTCCAATTCAATAGCACCATAAGGCACATTTACAACTTTGAACGGGCCAGACCATTCGGTTTTGAGTTTTCCAGAAAATAACTTGAGTCTTGAGTTGAAGAGTAAGACCAAGTCACCGTATTTGAATTCCCTCTTCAATATCTTCTTGTCATTAACAAACTTCATTCTCTCCTTATACATGGCTACACTCTCATACGCATGGAGATAGAATTCTTCCATCTCATTGAGTTGTGTCATTCTCAGGTTAGCAGCTTTGGCCAAGTCAAGATTCAACCTTTTCAGAGCCCACATGGCTTTGTGTTCAAGCTCCACTGGCAAGTGACACGCCTTACCAAAAACCAACCGGTATGGAGAAGTGCCAATGAGAATCTTAAATGTTGTGCGATATGCCCACAACACATCATCTAGCTTCCTTGACCAGTCAGTCTTATTTGCATTGACAGTTTTTGCTAGGATGTTTTTGATCTCCCTGTTGGAGAGTTCAACCTGACCACTCGACTAAGGATGATAAGGTGTGGCCACCTTGTGCTTTAGGCCATACTTTTTGAGCATCCCGATGAAAGACTTGTTGCAAAAGTGAGAACCACCATGACTAAGGATGGCCCTGAGGGTACCAAACCGCGTGAATATGTTCTCTTTCAAGAATACGGTCACACTCCATGCTTCATTGTTGGGCAAGGCGATTGCCTCGACCCATTTGGAGACGTAGTCCACAGCCACCAAGATATATGTCATGCCATAAGAGCTCACGAAGGGGCCCATGAAGTCTATCCCACACACATCAAAGAACTCGACCTCCATTACAAAATTCTTAGGCATCTCATGTCTTTTAGATATTGACCCTTGTCTTTCACATTGATTGCATGCCTTGACCATTTGATTTGTGTCTTTGTAGATCGATGGCCAATAGTAGCCACATTCAAGCATATTTGCCGCCGTCTAGTTTCCTCCGTGATGACCTCCAATAGGGGAGTCATGGCATGCCTTGAGAATTGGCATTACTTCATCTTCCGGACACACCGCCGAATGATGTTGTTGGCACAAATACAGAACAAAAAGGGTTCCTTCAAATAGTATTGCCTACACTCCCGCAAGAACTTTTTCATTTAATAAGCTTCCAATCCATTGGGAACAAGGTCACTAACCAAAAAGTTAGTGATGCCAGCATACCAAGGAGCGAATGTGCTAGACAATGCCAATATGTGCTCATCTGGAAAGGCATCATTGATTTCAAGGTCTTCTTTTAGTCTCCCTGCCTCTTCAAGCCTAGATAGGTGATCCGCAACTTGATTTTCTGTCCCTTTTCGATCCTTGACTTCAAAGTCAAACACTTGCAACAAAAGGACCCACCGAATCAATCTTGGTTTGGCATCTTTCTTCGCCATAAGATAGCGAAGAGCCGCATGCTCGGTGTAAACTATCACTTTGGACCCCAGCAAGTAGGCCCGAATTTTTTCAAAAGCATAGACAATAGCAAGAAGTTCTTGATCAGTCATAGAGTAATTCATTTGAGCTCCATTGAGTGTCTTGCTTGCATAGTAGATAGGGTGAAGGATTTTGTTATGTCGTTGACCAAGCACCACCCCAATAGCTACACCACTAGCGTCACACATGAATTCAAATGGAGGGGACCAATCGGGTGTGACAATAATCGGTGTCATAGTGAGCTTTTCTTTCAATTCCTCAAAAGCTTTAAGACACTTCTCATCAAATATAAACTTGCATCTTTTTCAAGGATCTTGCACATGGTATTTGCAATTTTTGAGAAGTCCTTGATAAAACGCCTATAAAAGTCGGTGTGCCCCAAGAAGCTTCGAACTCCTTTTACTGAAGTGGGTGGAGGAAGATTGGAAATGATTTCGATCTTTGCCCAGTCAATCTCTATGCCTTGTTTGGAAATTTTGTGGCCCAAAACATGCCCTCGTCTACCATGAAGTGGCACTTCTCCCAGTTTAGCACAGGGTTTGTTTCTTCACATCTTTTGAGCACTTGTCTAAGGTTGTCAAGACAATGATCAAAGGAATCACCCACTATAGAGAAGTCATCCATAAACACTTCTAGGAAATCTTCCACCATGTCCGAGAAGATTGGCATCATGCACCATTGAAAAGTAGCCGAGGCATTGCATAGCCCAAATGGCATACAGCTAAAGTCCCATATAGGCATGTGAATGTTGTCTTCTCTTGATCTTCCAAGGCGATATTGATTTGGTTATAGCCGAAATATCCATCAAAGAAGCAATAGAATGACCTTCCCGCTAGCCGATCAAGCATTTCATCAATAAAAGGCATAAGGAAATGTTCCTTACAAGTAGCACTGTTTAGCTTCCGGTACTCCATGCAAACTCTCCACCCGGTCACTGTTCTCGTTGGGATGAGCTCATTTTTTCGTTTTGAATCACGGTCATAACTCCTTTCTTTGGCACACATTGCACCGGATTCACCCAAGAACTATTGACAATGGGGTAGACCACCCCGGCATCTAACCATTTGATGATTTCTTTCTTTAACACCTCTTGCATGGAAGGGTTTAACCTTCTTTGATTCTCCACGCTTGATTTGCTCTCTTGATCCAATTGTATCTTGTGCTCACAAATTCCACGGGAATCCCTCGGATGTCTGCTATTGTCCACCCAATAGCTTGGTTATGATCCCTTAGGACATTCAACAAGTGTTCTTCCTGCACATCATTCAACAAAGAAGAAGTGATTACCGGTAGAGTTTTATTAGAGCCAAGAAATTTATACCTCAAGTGTGGTGGAAGTGTCTTGAGCTCAAGTTGCGGCGGCTAGATAATTGAAGACTTGGCGGGAGGAGTGACTCTACTCTCTAAGTCAAGAGAGAGTTTCTTTGGTGCATAAGTGTAGGATCCAAGTCCTTCTAATGCATTCACCGATTCCATGTACCCCTCCATGTCTTTACCATCAAAATTCACCAAAATAGCCGCCAACGCCTTACCAAGGAATTGTTCTTCCATCTTCACTTCGATTGCAACTTCTACCTCATCAACATCAATTACTGAGATGCTTTCATATGCATGTGGAAACTTCATACCCTTACTTGCTTGAAAGGTAACCTCTTCGTGATTAACTCGGAAATTGATCTCATTTCGTTCAGAATCCATAAGTGCTCTTCCGGTATCAAGGAATGGTCTCCCCAAGATGATAGAGATTTCTTTGTCAACAGCACAATCAAGGATCACAAAGTCGACGGGAGGAGGAACTTTCCCACTTTCACAAGAACATCATCAACAATCCCCACCGGTCTCTTTATTGAGCGGTCGGCCATTTGCAACCTCAAACTTGTAGGCCTCGGCATACCTAACCCCAATTGCTTTTAAAAGCAAGAGGCATTAGATTGATGCTATCCCCATTATCATAAAGAGCTCTTGAAAAATCGCGCAACCCAATAGTGCATGGAATGGTAAAAGCTCATGGGTCTCCTTTCTTTTAAACGGTGGTTGTTGCAATGATGGAACTAACCCGGTGAGTCACATTCACCACTTCATTCTTGGTGGTTTTCTTCTTGGTGATCAAGTCTTTCAAATACTTAGCAAAACCCAGCATCTCTTGAAATGCTTCCACAAATGGAATATTCACCGATAATTGGTTGAGAATATTATTTCTCAAGTTTTCTATCATCAACCTTTCTAGCAAGTCTTTGAAGAAAAGGAGGATGAGGTCTAGGAATTGGTGCTAGAATTTTTGGTGTCTCTTTCACCTTTTCCTTAACCTCTTCCTGGTTCACTTATTGAATTTGCACCTTTTCTGGGACTTTCTCAACTTCAACAACAATTGGAACCTCAACTTGTGCCCCAACTTCTTTTTCAAAGTCTTCTTCTTCGACCACTTGTTCATTCTCTCCTTGAAGTATTTTCCCACTCTAAGTTGTGATTGCCATACAATGAGAAGTTGGACTGCTCCTACTACCTTTTGGGTTTGCAATTGTGTCACTTGGGAGTGTGCCCTTTTGCTTTGGATTTTGCTCTCTTGAGAGATCCCTCATTTGCATCTCCAACTTTTGAATTGACGCGGTATGAGAACCCACAAGCTCGGTCATATTCCTCATTAAAGTGTCGGATCTTTCTTGATTTTGCAATACTCGTTCAAGCATGTTTTCCAACTTGGAATCACTTGAAGAACTTTCCTTCCAATGCAGAGAGTTGGAATATTGCCCCTTTGGTGGAACATAGGGGTTTGAACTCCGATTTGAAAAGTTGTTGTTGTTGTTACTCCAATTCCATTAATTTGAACTACCTTCGTCATTTCCCCACTGTTGGTTGCCTTGCCCTTGTAGGTTAGGTCTCCATTGATTTTGTTGTCCTGAACCTTGGTAGGGCTGCCTTTGATAACCTCTTTGAGAGTTGTTGACATAATTTGCTTCCTCGTAATCCTCATTTGATGTGGGTTGAACATCTTCCACCACATTCACCTTTTTTGTTTGGCTTTCGGTGAACAACTTCATCAACACATTTGACGTTGGTGGCAAGCCCAACAATTACTTGATCTCTTTCTTGGTTCTCCTTAATCATGTTGGTCAGGGAAGGAGTACCGTATGCAATTCCACCTGTGGTGTCCTCTGAGTGCCATGCTTGGTTATGTTGTGCCATTTTGTCAAGGATTTTGTGTGATCCTCACAAATGTTTTATCCATAAAAGATCCATCAGCTGCATTTTTGGCTATAGATTGATTCATAGGATCCAAGCCCATGTAAAATTTCTCCAACAAGATAGTATCCGGAAAACCATGATTCAGCAACCTCACTAAATATAGCTTAAACCGATCCCATGCCTCATATAGGTGTTCTCCTGGTAATTGCTTGAAAAAGAAAATTTTATCCCGGAGCTCAGACTTCTTGCTTTGCGGGAACCATTTGGATCCATTTCCTTTCCTCTCCAGCTAATGAGTACTTGAACCCTCAGTCTTAGGACATCATCTAAAACGTTGTTCTACTTGTGTATCACACACACACCCAAGAAGTTTCTGAGATGTTGTGTCGGGTCATCATCGGTGGAATTTCTAAAAAAACCTCTGCTTTGAGCATTAGGATTAAACCGTGTTCCACCTTGAAAGTGGAAACATCAACTCTTGGAGGGACAATGGCCTTTGTATCCTCAATGTACTCATCTATATCCGCAAAAGGCTTCTCTTCTTCGTCATACTCGGCCATGTTTTCCTAGTAACACCAAGCAAAGTAAGCAAAGTGTGATGGAATAGAAGAAGACGTAAACTAAAGCACACACTAAATAGTAATTTCAAAACTGTATTCCCCGGAAACGGCGCCAAAATTTGA